TTCCCCCCCAACACACTCTGATGCATGGAGAACCCAGTTCAGTAGGCTTTACTCCACCCACAGCCATGACTGGAGGTGGCCAAGCCAGCTTGCATGTGGCAGGGGCTGGGCAGCACTGTCTGGCGGAGAGACCCATGAGTGTGACTGACCTATTAACCTTGCAAGAATAAGCCCAGGCACCACTCAGAGCAAACATAACCTTGCTGTGCCCAGCGACTTCCCTCCATAAACAAAAGTGATGCCTGGCTTACAGCCAAGTCAAAGAGAATCAGATTCCAAAAAGAATCAACCCTAGTGGATCAGGAACATGGTTTTGCTGGCTACATTGGAGCAGCTGCCTTCAACCAGTCTGAATGCCACTGTCCCACAAGCCACGGGCACCCACTGTCACTGATGAACGTTGATCATGCAATGAGTAGTAACAGAGTTGCTCTGTTGGCACTGGACTGGGTTTTGCAGTTCCCTCTTTCACTGGCAAGGCAACAGCCAAGCAGGCTGCTTCGCAGGTGCTCAGTTCTTCCATCGAATTTGCTAAGAGAGAATGAGACATGACAAACATCAGTGCTGAACACAGAACCCTCAGCGGCCAAGTTAGTGAGTGCCAGTCCCTGACAAGGACAACTATGGCCAGAAGGTGCTATTTCTGTCAGTTTCACCCTTCATTCCCACACTGAATGCAACTGCAAACATAACATTAGCTTCCTAGCAGGGATAAAAATTATATAGGACAGACATGCCCTTACACCTAATCTACTTCTGTTTCTCATGAGAGTCTCTGGAAGAAAAAGTAGGTGTTTCTCACCACGTTATTGAGAATGCTGTTTATCTTCTCCTCTTCTGCAGAGCCTCGCTCCACCTTGCATTTATATGCTGTCAGCTGGATGCGATCCTTTAGATCCCTGTATGTCTAGATAAACAGCAAAACCAGCACCCAGGTGCGTGAGGACAACACTTCCACAGTTAGATGATGCCCTGCAGATAAGCAGGGCAACTCTTCAATCCCCCCTCAAGTTCCCACCACAGCACAATTCCACAGCACAAATGCAGCAGCCACGCTTCTGGCTCACTTGGCTTCCACTGGGAACCATGTCACTGCTCGCAGGCCACAGGCATAAGCAAACCCCACCAGGCACATGACAGCAGTGGCACATGGCAGAGCATAGGAAAGCTAGGGAGGAAGAGCAGGCTCTTGTCCCATCGCTTCACACACACAGCAGGGACT